AGCACCACTACCACCTGCGAACCCAGACCCACAACCCCGAAACCCACGTACCACCACCCACCCCGAAACCCACCACCAAAAATCCAGACCCACAACCCACCAGCCCAACGCACTCGAAACCGACAACCCACGAACTACAACCCACCACCACCCACCCCAAAACTCATAACCTAAGAACCCAGCCAACAACCCCAAAACCCGCCACCACGAACCCAGACCCACAACCGTCGAACCCACTACAACCCACCACCACCCACCTCGAAACCCAATTCCCACGAACCCAGACCCACAACCACGAAACCCACCACCCACAGCCCCGGAACGCACAACCCACGAACTTAGATCAACCGCCCACAACCCCGAAACTCACAAACCACCAACCAACACCACGGGTGGCGTCGTCGCGGGGAGGCAAGGCTGGTGGGGTGGGGGTGGCGTCGGCGCGGGGAAGGTGGGTGGCTGATTTTTTTGATTTTTCCTGATTTTTTTTTATTATTTTTTAAGTTTTTTTTTATTAAATGTTTTTTTTTTAATAAATTAAATTATTAAATAATTAGATAATGGGACCCACTAACGGCAAAGTTGACAGAATGCTAACGGAGGTACTGATATCTATAGTTTAGTCATTTTTGAGGTACCAATTTAAAATAAAATTTTAGATGGGTACTAAAATTCAATTACCCCCATTTTCGAGGTATCAAAATCCAAATTTTCCTTATTTTTATTGCAATGTTGCCATGTTGGTGATATCACACTTGTCAATGCAAATTCTATTACTTACATATCTTAAATTTATATTTTCGTAAAACATATAAAAAGTTGATATCAAGAAAGTATTTTTTAACATATGAATTAGAAAAAACGATCATAGGAGTAACTATTATAAAATTAATATTCAATAGAATACATTTAGAAAAAGTGGGATTTATATAAGCATTTAATATAAATGGCCTTTATTGGAATCAAACCTAGACCTTGTAGCCCAAGCGCACTAACACAAACACCCTGGTTAGGTTGTTACCATTGAGCTACACTACTTTACGTCTTTATCTACCTTAGTTATGTACAGAAATTGTACTTATTCTTTCTTTAAGTTTTTTGTTTATAAATAATTAAACCACCATGAAACGGAGGTAGTAATATGTTTAATTTCGATTCAGGTTAATAAATCATAGAAAATATAAATCTATAAATCCAAAATTTTTAATCTTGTCGTGTAGAAGTAGTGAGCCACAACTTACATTATTTCTTATGCAATAAATCCATTGGTTATGTATCATTTTCATGCCCTACCCTCACATGATTCCGTACTTTAGCCACTCTTTAGGTTGTACTAAATTTTAACTTAATTGCCAAACTTTTATTATTGATAATCTTCACTACTACAAATATCAATACTTCCCCTACCACTTTGATAACCTATTCTCCTCAAGATTAATAATGAATCAGAAAATTTTTATTTTTTTTTTTCTTTGTTATTTCTCATCCTCAAAACTCAAGCTCAATTTTCCTTTCTTTCAAGATTATATATACCTGACGTATATCTTCTTGGCTTTCAATCTCATGCACATGGACGTCGACAGTATCATCATCTACCCCTCGGACTCGACGCTGTAGGTGCAGAATCTACCGCATTTGATTGTGAAGGTAATGGCCCGTACGTTGGAGTTTCCGATGGTCGGATATTAAAGTGGCAAGGCCCTTCAATTGGTTGGACCGTCTTTGCAATAACCAGTCAAGATAGGTATACATCTTAAATACACTTAACCTACTTATATAGTTTAATAGTTATATGGAAATCCTAAATTACAAATATAGTGAGGGACGACTTAATTAATTAAAACTTTCCTCCAATTTGACAATTTTCTAGGTGTGATTCATGACTTTATGAAAAAAAATTAATAAAAAAATTAATAAAGTTATTTCAATACAAATTAAACTCAAAATTATCAAAATATACGGACGCAAACTGATATATACAAGTATCTAACATATTTTAATTTAAATTCCATATCATTGTGATTTAATATTTTAATTACACGTCAAATGCATGTGATGGAATAAATGACTCTTCTTTGGAACAATATTGTGGTAGACCTCTTGGGTTGAAGTTTAACATGGCAACTTGTGAATTATACATTGCTGATTCAAGTTTTGGATTAGTAAAGGTTGATCGTAAAGGTGGTGCCGCCACTTCACTAGCCACCACTCACCAGTGCCGATGCGGTACCATTTCGCTTTCTAAACGACCTTGATATCGACTATGAAAGTGGTGATGTTTATTTCACTGATTCAAGTTCTCAATATCATCGATGGTAATATATACTTTATAATATCAAATTTATGTAATTTTTACGTATCATATAACTAATATATAAAGCTAAACTTTTAGCCAGATGACGAGGTAGCGACATTTAGCGTTCTAATTTTTCGCCAAGTGTCGCGCCACGTAGGATAGAGTTATATAGAATTTAATTTGTAGGATAAAAAAGTTAATTTAAAATTCTATTTTGAATCAAATTTGGATAAAATTTTAGGAAAAAATTGTTAATTTAGAGTTTTATTTTCGATAAAGTACCAATATTTCATATGTATAAATTAAATTATAATTTTATCAAAAAAAATTATAACACTCATAAATTATCATATAAATTTATTTTTTGTATCATAGTATTTTTTTTTTGGAGCGAAGGAATTAGCTCAAAATGCACCAAATCCATTATTTATAATATATTTTAATCAATTAAAACAATATACTTTACAATCTAATATAATTTTATTAATGTGTGTAGACCTGTCAATCGGGTCGGGTCACGAGCCATTTCGGACAGGGTCATTATTTCAGGTTACGGGTCAAGAAATGTTTTTCACCAATGTTATTAATTATTATTAGTCATTACATGCCTACTATATAGTTTAAATCATCACAAAAACATATCAATTTCTAACTAATTTTGTATCAATGATATGTTTTAAAATTTGAAATATAGATTAAAAATTTATCTTAAAATTCAATAAACAACCCGGGCATCGCACGGCCACAAAACTAGTTAATAATAAAAGATATTATTGATTGAAATAATACATTGACAATGTGTAACGAAAAGTATTGCATTAAAAAGAAAACAGAGTGTGCATAGCTCTATTTCATTTTATGTACAGCTAGGATTAATCCTTTTAGTATATTCTTGCAAAACTAACTTGTTATGAAAATATACAATTTTCATTTCATATTATTTGCAACAACTAATGAAGTATAATCATTTACAGGGAATTTAGGAAAATAGATATGAAAGATCGAAGTGGAAGGTTAATAAAGTATAACCCAAACACGAAACGTGTGACCGTGTTAGTTAGAGGTTTATCATTCGCAAACGGAGTAGCTTTGAGCAAGAATAAAGATTTCATTCTTGTTGCCGAAACAACTCTATATCAAGTGCAAAGGTACTGGCTAACCGGTCCGAAAACCGAAATAACCGAAGTGTTTATGAAACTTACGGGACGACCAGATAACATCAATCGAAACGCTTATGGAGATTTTTGGATTGCCCAAAACCCGACTAAACCTATTAAAATCAACGAGGGTGGAATGATATTAGAAAGTTTAGATACAAATGATATAATAGATTGTAGTGATGTGAAAGAAATTCACAATAAGTTGTGGATAGGTTCTGTTATTCAAAGTTACATTATCTACACTAGCTAAATATTGTTTGTAAGCCTACTTACTGTAAATTAATTTTAGATACAAATGATATAATAGATATTCTTCAAAAATTAATGTTTGTAAAGTTGTATTCATAAATTGTAAAGTTAGTGTAAAAAAAAAATCAAACGTTGTCCTCATGTACATAAACGATAATTATCTATTTGTTATTGATAGATTAACTCTTTTTAAAGTAGTTAAAATCAGATCCTGTTTTTTTTTTTAATTTTTTTTTTGGAAGGAGTAAAAATCAAATCCTGCATGTTATTGAGAAGGTTAGAATACTAAAGTGGAATTTTAGAAAACATAGGGCACCAAAGTGAAATTGAGAAAATCCTTGTTAATATGTCATATTAACATGGAATGTTTATATGGGGCAGAATTGACAATTCGTATGCTTGAGTAAGGGTATGGATGTCAACAAAAAGTTTCACAGATATCAATTTCCCCTTCCAACTTCATCTCCTCAACTTCAACTTCCCTCATCCTCCATTCACAAACAATAAAACATCCCCATATCAATTTATCACTCCTTCATCACTTTTAAAATTGAAACCTTCAATGGGCAGTTACAATGGAGATATTGAAGATGAGGACAAATTCCTACCCTTTAGGTTTAACCGAACCCTTTATTTCACTCTTTATTCTCAGGGTTTGTGACACATCACCTGCAAAAAATAAAAACTTTAAAAAAAAAATAAAAAAAAATAAAAAAAAAACTCTCATATTTACAAAAATGCCAACATATTAACATTGTAATGTTAATATGCCATATTAACCAGGCACCCAGTGAAATTATGTCAAACTTCACAACACTAAGTTGGAAATTTTCCTGTTTCATTATAAACTAACTTTATATATGTATTTTTCAATTATATAGTGATCGATACATCTCACTTAATAGTAGGCTATCAATCGGTCATAACATGTTTGAAGCGGATAATTGAAGGTTTGACTTATTTATAATGGACATCCAAATATTGTACTACCTCTGTTTTTTATTATATGCAACAAAGGAATATTTTATGTCTCATAAATAATACCCCTTTGTTGCACATAATAAGAAATGGAGGTAGTATTTTTTTTTTTTGACAGATTTTCCAAAAACAGATTAGATCCAAGTGCAGACAAACAGCTACACAAACACAAAAGAAAATACAATTTCTTCACTTTCTGTACGAACATGACTTGAGTAGTATTTCATATTTCAGCAATAACACATTTACTTTAACATACTAAGCTAGAAGGTCTACTACTAGAGAACATTGAGATGTGATTGTAAAGCACTCATTATTTATGGGATCAATTTGAAGAATAGTTCAGGCTCAAGCTTTTGTTGCATCAGTAAAGCCATCCTTTCGGACATTTCAGGTGTAAACTGATCGTCTTTGGTCCATTCCCACACTTTCACAGCCTTGTTATCTTCAAAGCTACACAAGTCTATAATTTGTTGTATGATACCATCACTTTCTTCTTCGGAAGAAAATGACATTCCTATAAATTCTGCTAACATCTTCAGTTGAACAGTGAGCTCGGTTTTCAGATTTTCGTACTGCAGGAACAACACCTTGTCTGATCTCTCTGTACTAGCCTCCCAATACTGACGAACATGGTTAAAGAAAGGGCCAGGAACAAATTTCCCCTCACTAAAATCTTGGTAGCAATCCTCGAGAGTAGGGGGTATGTAATCATCTCCTTTGGCCTTCTTAGCGTAGTCTATGAAAAAGTAATAGAATTAGACAAGCATGTCATAAGAGTTTCTACAAAGGTACAAAATCCTGACACCCTGAAGGCTGAAGTTTTGATAGATTCAGTAAGAGATGTGAAAGGGACATCAGTGTTAAGGAGCCTAGGTGACAGAATCTCATTAAGATGTGTAATGGACGGTGTGGTTGGTGGTAAGAAGTCTATGCTGTGTACAAACTGATCTCCATGATGATGGGAGTGTAAGGGAATTAGATCAATGCTTGGATAATTTACACGATTAACAACAGCGAAAAGCAGACATTTCAACCAAGCTGTTCCTGTTTTCGCAGGGCTAATAATGAAGATATCAGTGTCTCGAGCAGCAAAGTGTCTTTGAAAGGCGATGGCATTTCTTAATATAGGAATTTCATCTTCATCGTAGTAGTAGAAACCTTGATACTCGATCATTTGAAAATCTGAATTCCTTAAGGGAACTTTCGGAAGGCTTTCTATCAGTTTCTGCACTTCTTCATCTTCCTCCTTTGTTTGATTCAGATTCATATTATAGATTAGTATACACTTTTCTTGTTACTTTTCTATTGTACTTCGTTTAGTTGGTAGCTGAAGTGTGTAGAGTTCTTAGTTCATATACAGATATTGTTCACTAAAAAAAAAAAAACAAGTTGCCAATTTGCTATACAAGCTAAATCAAACGCACCCAATAATAGAGCATTAAACAAACAAATAAAATAAAGTCAGTCAAAGAATGAATCAAAATAAAGCAGCAGCTTGGTTTGTTCGTATAAGCCTGCAGGCTGCAGCAGCCCAACAGCTATATATTACAAGAAGTAAGCCCCCAACAAAGACGCTATTACTCTATCTCAGTGATACACTGGCGTTACGTTATTCCTTATTACAAAGTAAATTAAAATTTGTCAGATACAACCTACTCCCTCATTGTTTTTGTGTTAAAGTTCTTATATAGTTTTAGGTAGTTTAATTGACTCTAATACAATACGAAGTAATATGTAAGTAGAATAGTTAAGATGATGAAAAGCAATTCTAGACTTCAACCATCAGTTTAACATTTCAGTTGATTTGGTCATGTACTGTTGTACACTTGTACATGATATTAAAACCTCAAATTTCAAAGTACTGAGTGGGTGGAAATAATGAAGTTTGAAATTATTGTTATACATAAATTATGTATTCACTTGTATTAATTTTTCTGAAATCATGTCTGAAAAAGCAATTCTAAACACTGAAATAGTTCATGGATGCAACTAGATTAACAAGTAAAAGAATGGTGATTTCTCTATAACTGTTGCATAATAAATACAGAAAATTTTGATCCCTGATACACTTTTGATGTTCACTTGCATACCAACTCTGTTCTTTGCACAATATTTAATTCTTCTAGCCATGCAGTGTGAAGGGGGCAAGGATCAGGTTTTCCATCAGAAATTGCCTTATCGGAAAGTGAATAGAACCAGCCGTTTCTCCATTTGAACTGCAAGAATAGATTAATGAAAGCATTAGAAACATATAGGGCTAAGCAGGAAATAACATAATTTCCCAAGTGATTCTCTCTTTCAATTTGGAGCTGTCCCATGTTTTACAGCAGTCTAGCCATCTCTCTGAAGTACTATAATAGCAGAACTCGATGATTAAGAATAATAAGGAACGGATAAACAATATAAGTGTCAGAGATCATTGATAAAAAAAAAAAAAAAAAAACAAGAGATGAGATTCACCTCTTTTACTGCCGTGGGGAAGTGTGCTACAGTACGTGAATAGGCACATAATCTTTCTTCTATTCCTTCTTCAAATGCCAAGCCCTTTTCCGTTGCAGCTGCAGATGCAAGTTCAGCGATAAGAGCTGACACCTGAAAACATGTCGATAGTTGAGGTTGTTTACAAAGAGAATCGATAGATCTAAACCTTCATAAGCTGGTTTAAATTCTCGTCTACACGCAAAATTATGCACACAAACACGAGTGAATTGCCTTAAAATACAGGCTTTGTGTTAAGAAGTACAATAGAAGAAAAGCAGCAACTTATTGAGTAATACAGTGAGATCTCTTCAGCAATTAATATTGAAGCGTCAAGAATTCCTAGTATAATCATCAATACAAGGATCAAATTGGTAATAGTCTTCAATAGGCCACACACATCTATATGGATGAACTCAAGTTTCTCGGCTTTCTCCTTGGTCCTCTATGCTTAAACCAATAAATATGAATCAAAGTTCACATATGTTGCTTTCCCTTCTTTTTTTTTTGTCATCAACACATATATGTCTTGACATGAAAGGCGTGGAAATTCTGAAGATCTACGGCCAAGAAAATAAGCTCAGCCTCTACTAGTATCTTCTTCCAGGAAGCGTCAAATAAGAAGAAACTATGGAATATTCGGCCAGACAAAGAGCTAAGTATTCCATAGAAGAGGAAAAGAAAGAAAAAAAAAAAAAACAGGAATTGTTGAGAAAAGTGTCAGCAAGAAGGATGACGGTATATTCCATTTCCCTAAGGATGGGGCATGAGCAGACCACAGATACATGACGAGCTTAGGACAATAGGGGCTAGATCCTGTTATGGAACTTTTAATTCATCTGGCAAAATGAAGGAGAATTTAAGTTGGCCAAATTTAGCCATACCTCTGATCGGTATTCCTTCTCTACAGTACCCACTGTTGCTCCAGGATGAAGGGCTCCAACAAGCATAAATGCTGAGATCCATATTAGTTTCTCTAACATCTGTTTCTGAAATGGTTCCTTATCAAGTACCTGCAGTCATCAGCAATCAAGAAAATTAACTTATATATTATGCTCTAAAGATAGGCCCATGCGGCTTTGCAATGGACGGATTATTACTGCTAATCAAATTCTAACATCTGAAATGACATAGGAATATTATCATAACAATTCCAACATAACTTTTATTCTTTTAAAGCTATATTTTTATTTGATAACTTGATACATCTCTTTATAAAAACTTATAAATATATTTTATTCCAACTCTTTTTTTTTAATTTATTTTTAAGTACTAGTAACTTAAATTGGCCAAAAAGTTTGAATTTAATATTATGCAGTGGCTTCCAAAATTGACTTTAACATTTTCTTTTTATCTCAATCACTATCCTATTTCTTCATTTAAGACTTTCTAATGAAAAATTCACTTCTACTCACAATTTTGTATTTTTTAAAGAGAAGGTGGGACTGTGGGAACATTCCATTGGATCAAGCTCCAAAATTACAAATTCGTGGAACAAAGACAAACAATTTAATGCACAACTCAAGGTAAAATTGGAAGAGTGTAACAAAAATACAAATTAAGTGAAAAGCTCTAGTAAGAACACCTCCCGCATGTGAGAACATGTCCTATGCTCTATAAACTAATTGTAATGTTCTTAATTAGTAGTTCTTTTCATATAAGAATACTACCCACTAAAGCTCCATGCTTAAATTCAACCAAGCTCTTCACAAATTCAATGAAATTTATTCATAAATTTGACTTATTTAGGTAATGGATTTAATTTTGTTTCACCCTCCTCTAAAATAGTCTCTCCCCTCATAAATAATAATCCTCTGTCCTCAAGTAGACTCCATGAAGCTAAAGCTCAAGCTTAGATGTACGGAAGTTTCGGTCCATGTTTTATTTGCCTTATATTAACTTATTTTAGGAAATGTAAGTTTTAGAAAGATAAGTTCAAGAAAAAAAAAAGTTCTGATAGATAAGGGAAACCCAAGTTCAAATTACAACTAAGATAAGTTCTAATAAAGTTTAATAAGTTTAGGGTGAATCCAGATACGATAAGACAAGTTCACTAGAACAGAAAAAACACCCTTAGAATAAGTTCACATTTTTCAAGTTATAGCTTGTGTTTTAAATAACTTTAAGCATTAATATAAGCCATTAGAGTCCATGCTCTAAAAAGTTAAGTGTGTTGTTCTAAATTTCCATTGCATATGTTCTATATTGCTTTGGATATTATTCATCATCTTTTCTTCTTGTATGTTATAAAAATACATATTATACATCCTAAATAAATGTACAATATGTCCTAACTTGTAAAACAAAAGTCTAGTTGTCTTCAATAGTGGATGCATCCACAACCAATCATTAGATTTCTTCTAATCCAATGGCCAAGATCTATTCTCATATATATAGAGGGTCAACAAGTTCACTATAGCAAGGTCCTTTGAAATTGCATGATATGAATTGCAACATAATTAATGTACACACACAAAAATGCAAACCCGGAGTGTTTACCTTACAAGAAAGGCCTCCAGCACGTAATCTTTCTGCTACCGCAGGAGCCCATTTGCCAAAAGCTGCTGTCAGACCTTCTGGATTAGTGTCTGTCTTACCATCAATTGGTGGTTCACCAAGCTTAGCAACCGCAAAATATGCCAAAAGTTGGTCAGCATCACCAAGACCTTTACTGTGAAACCATGGCTCCAGCATCCCATTCTGGAAAAAGACCAAATCTGCCAGATTGTGAGAAGGATACAACCATCATCAACATGATCGAAACAGAAATTTTTAAAATATAACCAGGCACATTCATATGTATCTAATTGTACATACAATAGTTTATAGCAGTGCTGAAAAATTGACATTAGGTGAACCAGTCGGTTCTCGAATGTCAATATCACAATAAAAACTCTCATATAACTACTATAAAAAAAAATGATATAATAAGATAAAATAAAATGGGAAAGCAAGACTTATATTAACACATCTACACATCCTATTTCTCTTGATCAATACCCCCTTTTTTTTTTATGAGAAAACTCTTGATCAATTCTTATCAACACATCAAAGTAATGAAAGATTGATTGTAAGGAAAAGGATGTGTATGTCCTTGTTGGATTATGTACATGGGTCATAGGAATATTTTTACTTGATGCTGAAATGATTGTTGATTTAACAATTTGAATACATGAAACACCCTCAAATTTTAGCAATTATAACCAGAAACCCAATGATCAGATTTCAAATTTGCAACTTTTTCTAGTTACAAAACTATATACTCCAATTGTTACAAAATTTTTAACACATTGGCATTATCTTGCACAACATCAGGATTAAATTACCCTACTAAAAACCTTTCAAATATTAGAAATTAACCAATTGAATCAAATATTAGAAATTAACAAATTGAAAAATAAACCTAAGAGAAATTCCTCAAAGTTAATCTCACAAATCAGCATTATAATAAATCATAAGCACAATGAAAACTGAATGAAGGTTAAAACCCTAACCTTTCCAACGAGATTGAGGAGTAACTTGAAGAACACCCTCAAGATCATCATTTCTAGTACAAACTAAAATGGGGCCATCAAAATCAAGAGGAACAAAATCCCCTCTTTTAATCAACAAATCATCACCATTACCCATGTCTTGTAAAGCTCTACCAACTCTTCCACCACCAACAATAATGGCAGGAACAACTTTACTCTTTAAAGTTTCAGGCTTTTCAACAGTAGCAGCCATTGTTGAGCTTGCTGATAATGCTGTTATGGAAGGAGTAATTCTGGGAGTTGAATAATAATGGGATTGTCCCAAAAGTTTTGGGATTTTGGAAATTGGGTTTGGGTTTGAAATGGGTGTGATTTTGGGGAAGAATGATGCAGTGGAAGTAGGAGGGGTAGTGAATAAGAATGAGGCCATGGAATAACTGAATGTGGTACTGCTAATCTGCTATTCTGCTAATGCTGGTTGTTGTTGGGTCATGTACTGTTTTTTGTGGTATGTTACATACTTACATGTACATGAAATCTTGAAGATAGGGTAATCGAAGTTCATTTTGTGATTGGGTAATATTATGTGAGAAAAAGGTTGTTTACTTGTTTTGATGAGGTACCAACCATTACAATGTAATGTGGACAACGTGTGAAATTACCGATACCGACAAGTTGAGGTTTGTCAACATACTCTCGTAAGGTTGGAACAAGATAAAGTCAATTAAAAGATAAGATTCTCTTCCAAAAAAATAAAACAAAAGGTAAGGTTGTCGCGCATATAGAACCCGTGACTGCCACGTAGATAGGACTAGCGCTATATGCACACGATGTGTGCGACGTTGATATAGTAAAGGCAGCGTATTGCATAAAGTTAATATTATGAGTTTCACAATTTGATGTTTTTCCAAGTACAACGGCTTTTACAACTCCGACGTCTTGTTTAATGTATTCCAAGCTTGTTTTTGAGTTTAAAGCCCTCTCATTAATTTGTAATCTAATTTTTTGAGGTTTTTTTTATTAATATTTTAGGAAAATTCTTGATTGCATAGAGGTTAATATTATATTACTCTACCATTACTAGTTTATTTGATTTCGTTTCATCCTCCTAATATGTTAAATTTTCTTTAATACATTTTTTAAAATTATTATTAAAAGATTCTAAATTGTGATTAAAATTTAGGAAACTCACATTACTGTATAGAATATTGTAATTTCTTTACTATTATTTTAAAAAAAAATTTAGGGACCATTAGAGGAGTTCAATTCAAAAGTTGGACCAACTTTTCATTTTTCCTCCTCCTGGCTTATATACTCCATCCGTTAAATACTTAAATATTAATCGCAACATGTATTATATATAAATGGGTGCTAAGCTTTAATCGCAAAAAAAATTTCCATAAATGATAAGTTTTTTAAGCAAAAACACCAAGATATCCTTACTTAAAAATCATTAACAATTAGGCCTAATCTAAGAAGAACAATTTTACAATGGCTACATAAATTTTGAAGCCATTATAATCTTAAATCATGACCATACATTTGCTTATATTAAATCAATATCATTCATTGAGTTGACTTAACAAAAAAATTTATTTGTCATTAAATTAAAAATTATTTGTTTTATCTTTTCATTTCTGCACTTCCTAATCATCATCATCATCAACACACACACACACTCACTCTAAATAATCAAAGGCCTTATATAATAAAATCAAAACTTCATCCGTCAAATTTCACCATTAATCATCTTCTAAATAATCAAAGGCCTTATATAATAAAATTCAAAACTTCATCCGTCAAATTTTACCATTAATCATCTTCTTTGTACCTTTCTTCCATAAATTATAATATAACTCAACCGAGTATAGTTATTCCGCATTTGTATTTGATTAACTCCAATGATATTATATTGTGTATGGAAAGTAACCAATTTCCTATGGAAAGAAAGATTCGTTGGAAATCGATTCCGAAAATTGGAACGTATATGGAGTATGTCAAAACGTTAATTAAGTAAGACATTAATAGTGAAACTTTTTTTTTTTTTTGAATAAAGTAGTTTTTATAAAAAAAACAAAAAAAAATTGAAATTTTTATTTTATAAATAGGGTTAAATAAATGAATGGATGAGATCTCCTCCTAAACGATAAAGGGTCTAGATTGAAAATTAATAGTGTGGCTACAATTTTTGTGTAGCCATTGAATAGTCATCTAACAAATCAGCATAATCATTCCAACCAAAAAAATCTGAATCACTTCCCCAATAGTATTTCTTTTCAAATCTGATTTTTCATTTTCCCAACTGCATTCAGTGAATGCTCTTCCCCAACCACCTACATTTACACCAAGGAGCTTCTCTAAAACAAGATTTTTCTACAGATTTCAAACCCTAAAAAACTCGAGTCCCTTTCTCACTTCTCTTTCATCCGTATTCCAATCTCTCTCTCTCTCTCTCTCACACACACACACATACTCTCTCTCTCTCCCCCTAAGATCTTCCCTTTTCTCTCTGAAATCATTCTCTAATGAGTCACCCAAAAGAAAAAACCCCAAAAAAGAATCTTGGTAATGAAAACACCTCAGATCTGTTCTCTTATGAGGCAATTTCTGCTACTTTGACCAAATTTGAGGGTTCTCCTTCATACACAAGGTACAAATGTATTAAGGGTACCGGGGTTATGAAACATATGCGAACTGCTGCGTATCGGGCTCTACAAAGGATGCGAGGTAGGGATGTGAAGATTATTGAGCTTTCTGATGATGATGAGCCTATTTAAAAAGCAGATCCAGTTGAGGAAGTTGTTGCGATCGGTGTTTCCAATGAAAATGGTGGTGCTAAGGGTTCTTCTTCATACACAAGGTACAAATGCGTTGAGGGTTCTATGGTTATTGTTCATGATGCGGGTGGTTCAAATCTGGGGAAAACAACCCCTTTTGCCGATGATACTGCTAACCCATATCTCGAGGAAGTGAAGGACAACCCTCTTAAACTGTAGAGTGAGGGTCCTTCTTCAGGAACAAAGAGGGCTAGATATAGCTACCCAATTGATGAGGACCAAGTTGACCCTGTGTAATCTGAGGGAGTTTCACCTTGAGTACTTTGGATATTATAGTCCTAGAATTGTAACTATTCATTATCCCTTAATTTTTAAATAGTTTTGGTATTTATGTGTCAAAATTCAAGAATTTATTAATTGAAGTCCCTGTTCTATCCTTGGTTGACTGATTTTGGATGTGATATTGTTGTTAGTGCATTTAGTTCGAAAGCTTAGACTCCCTTTGATTGGGTGTTGTTTGTCCTATTTCATGTTGGATCCTGTTTGTTATTGGCTCGTGATTATTCCTGATTGTTATTGTTTGTTGGTGATTCTTGTTGTTGTTGTTGGTTGTTGATCCTTATTGTTGTTGGGTCAATCCTAGTTGTTGTTGTTGGTTGTTCATCCTAATTGTTATTGGATCATGATTCTAATAGTTGTTTATGGTACTATTTCCCTGTTTCTGCATATGATGGCAAGAGGAATGATGTGTTGATGGATGATGACCTGTTTTATATTCTTTTGATTTTGATATGCCCTTTATTGAAATAATGATATCCTCTTTCGTCCAAAGTATATCCTCTATTGAAATAATGATATCCACTATTAAATAATATATATCCTTTCATTATTAAATAATACATATCCACCAACAAATTGTATATATACTCTATTTAATATTACATCTTATTTAACAAACTATACATAAATCCTTATATCCCTACTTTATAAAAAGTGTAATATTACGCTTATGAATAGTGTGATGTCAATTATACCCTTTAAAATATGTATTTACACATATACCATCATTAATGTGTACAACTTTTTGTAATGAATTTGGACAATTATACCATTTAAAATATTTAATTACTTATTTACCCTCATTATTGATAATTATCTCTTTTTTTTATAACTTTTAAAAATAGTGTGTGGATATTAATTCCCCTAAATACATTTGATTACATGTTTTTTTCACTAAATTGACCAATAACCTGATTTGTGATGTATGGCCAAATCAAAAGAGATTCTGGATATTGCTAGCTATGGCGCGTGCATCACACACATTAGCTACCCTATTAAAAATAAATACTAAAAGAAGGGGTTGAGTAAGGACAAGGTGATCGTCAAAAGGCAGTGCTCCGAACCGCTAGGCAGGAGGGCGAGAGCTCATTAACCACCCTTGGATCTGTTCATAACATATTATGGATAGGCATATCCTCCAACAAATTATTCATTATCTCCAATAAACAATACATATCCTCCAACAACCCCTTGTTTTTATTGATGTTGTGCTTTTTTTTTCGCCACACGAAGTTATTGGTGAGGCAAGCCTCACACAATAGTTTATCTTCATGATTTAGGAGTAAATAGTTTCTATGGTTTGTAATGTTGAATTACGAACATACTTGGTTGCCTTTATACTCTCCTTTGCATATGAAATGCTTGAGGAGAAAAACATTTGAAGAACTTAAAAAAAATTTAAATTTTTGGTGAAATTTTCGGAGGGAAATCCCTCTAGACCAAAAATATTGGTCCCCTCCTTTATTTTTGAAATATCAAATGTCTTCCCTCTATTTTCTAAAAAAACTAGATCCACAATGGTTCTTGAGTAAGTGTGGTAATCTTCTACCCTTTTCTATAATTAACTCTCTTAAAAGTTTTGCCTAGAATTCTGCACATAACCCCTTTTAACAGAGGTAGCAATAAAGATTCTCATAAAAATAGTAACTAGGTCTAGTAGCGTAGAATTTTCATAATTAAGGGTAGTAGTGTAGTACAAGATAAGGTTTTCAAAAAAAGATAAGGTTCAAAATATAAGGTAAGATTTTTTTTATCTTTTTTACATAAGCCAAAAAGAGAGGTTGTGGTGTCCCCCCTATAAAGACCTTAATTAATACCCCTCCTTTTTTATGGTCTGATTTTGGGTTGATCAGGTGCAGTTTTTAGGCGGTTTCATAGGGTTGTTTTGCTGCAATACCTCTAGCGGTTTCCGGGCAGTTTCTGTTGGCTGTTTTCAGCTGGTTTCGGAGTAGTTTCCGGGCTGTTTCAGTTGCGTTCTTGTGTGTTCTTCTTGGCTGCAGTTGCTAGGCGGTTTCTAGTGCTTCTTGGGTGCAGTTTTTGGTTAGTTTTTGGTGCAGTTTGCGTTGTGTTTTATTGCGGTTCTCTTGTGGCAAGTTGTGGTGGATGTTATGCCTCCTAGTGTTCTCTTTCATTGCCCGTTCGTGGGTCTTAATGGGTGTCAAGATGGCAAGGGTAATGGGCTCACCAAAACTTCTTTGATCACTCATCTCCGTGACCGTCATTGTTGTGCAGATGCGCGGGATATGACCCAATGCTCTCTTGCTTCTAATCTGGCTATTTCTTAGAGGCGGAGTCAAATTTTCGGCGTATGGGCATTGGGCTTTGTGGGGAGTGTTTCAAGACTCATACTTTTCGTACGAAGTGTCGACATGGTCGTGGTTCGGATGATATTGTGGACCCACCTGATTTGGGGGATGGTGTTGTTCGGTTTGTTCTTT